TTTACGCCTTCCGCTTCTTATTTGATTCTTTCATATTCTCTATCTTTTTTTCCCTTTTTCTAAAAAGAAAAAAGGATAAAAAATCCTTTTTCCTTTTCCTTTACTTCTTTTATATCTTTCTTTGCTTTTTGATTTTCATTTTTTTAAAATAATTTTTTACTTTTTATTTTATTTGTTTAGTTGTTAAATTCCGGTCATTTTTCCTCTATTATTTTTAACAAGATTTTTGATTCAGTTTTCAATTTTCATTTTTCATACAACACCTTGAGTTGATAAGACCGTTGTAAGGGCGAAATTGCCATTCTTGTGGGGGAGTGATTTTCATCTATTTCTAATTCCTATTTGCTCAGTGATAAATACATTGAGCTCTTTTCTGTGAATCACTTTTAATATTTTATATTACTAGGATTCACATGGATTTTTACCCTATATATATATATATATATATATATATATATATAGGCAGCAATCATTCTTTCATGCACATTTCATTGAAAACGACAGATAAGTTGGTTTGATTTAATTTTTTTAAATTTCTCATGTGATCTAATTTTCATCTTTTCCGTTGAAAAAATTATTAGATCGCATGATAAATAGTATATATATATATATATATATATATATATATATATATATATACATATATATAAGTGTGTGTGTGTATGTGTATTTTGCCATCATATCGTCAGTCAAATAGATTTATCTGAATTATATCCTTTTTGTACATCCATAGCAAAAATAATCAAACTGTTGCTGACTGATGATATATAAAATTAAATCATTTTAAGAAAAAGATTCTCACGCAAAAATGACATCAAATTTTATACTTTTTTATTCTTCAAACATGCTTTTCGTTAATCAAAATAAAAGCTGTAGTGATGAACAACAACAACGGGATGAATCTCAAGTAGTTTTTCTAAATTAAATGTTAATATCCTAGCTGCACGCATGAATTCTAAATGAAGCGTAATTGTTGGAATTTTAATGTATTAATTTTGTAATATTCTCTCACTAACACTTTTTAACTCTGGCTCCCAGATGTAGTCGAAATCGATTAAAGAGAAACGCTTTCGACATGGTGCATTTGCTTTTTGGGCATCTGTTGACATTTGAACTCTCGCACATACCCACACACATGGACATTTGTCTGTCATAGACAAGCGCATACTTATAGCTACTTTTAATGTTTTTTTTTTCTTTTCATTACAGTTGTGTACACAAGAAATTACTTTTGTTAATAACATGCATTGTCGTTTGTTTTGCATTCGTTCTTTCGTGTTTATTATTTTCATTCGGACACACTTGAATCCGCCAATATAGTTGACGGGATAAATTTTCAAGGATCCCATAAATATTTAGCATAATGTATCTACGAGGTGATACACGCAACATAATTTGGACATATTTTTATCCGAAAAACAATAAACTCCTGCAGCCCCTTATTAATTCCAATTCTGATGAAAACCGAAATTAAAGTTAAACTTTTTTTTTATATCTATGCATTATTATACATTCATAATTTTATGAATGCATTTGAAAGGTTTCTCTACATCCGATATTTAAAGTTAAATTTTTATTGGTTTTTGTTTTTCTTGTAGCTACATATTTGAATTTATTTATGATTTTGTTTTGTTTTTTATTTAATTGATTCGTTTTAAAATGTAGTTGGTTTATATTTAAATTTATTCAAATTTAATTTACTAGTTTTCGATATAGTGGCTTTTCCTGCTTCATGTTGAACATTGACAATGCAATGATAAGTTTACTTCTTTTTGATACAATCAGTTTCTCTACACGGTGTGACGTTTATCTATATACAGAAGAACACAAATGAAGATAAAATGTTCTGGTTGCGAATGTTTTCCCTGAAATTGGGAATACAATAGTATTAAAAAAATATTCTGTTTGCATGCATGTTGACGAATAACTAAAATAGTATTATCAATACCCATACACTTCATTGATGTATAGAATAAAATGAGTTAATGGATATTTAGAATTCCATACTACATGTTTGATACGAAGACTCACAACTTTCTGATCATCGCTAAATTAGGTCACATTTAAATATTCATAGAGACCTATTGAATCTAATTTGTAACATACTTGTTGACAACACAAATATAATCGCATCATCTACATGCAAAAAATGGCTAAAATAAAGGAAAACTTATTAATAAAAACAAAAAAAATACTTAATAATATCAACTATGAACATAGACACAATATCTTAACAGTGTTTTGAAAATGAAAATATTATATAAATACATACAGACAATAATCTATTTTTTGTATAAATATATATATTTCAATCTTGAAATAGCTCAATATATGTATAAATATATTTCAACCTTGAAAATTGCTATATGTATAGCCGAAAGCGCTCGGAAAGAAAGAACACTTGGACAGTTTTTATATAATTTATCATCATAAAAGAAAAAAAAGATATTGTATAAAAAAACTAAATCAAACACCTTGTCCCTCGTCCTCAATGAAATGTGTATATATATATATATATATATATATATATATATATATATATATATATATATATATGAAGAAATATAATTTTAAGGTGTGTTATATCCATGCGATAAAGTTCTCAATATCAGAGATAGAGCGTATGTAAATGTAAAAGTGAACATTGAAGTCAACATTCAGAGGCGACAGGCTGTTTCAGACTGTTTCAGGCTGGACGCAATCGTCAGGCCGTGAATGTTGGATTTCTCTTCGGCTATTTATATACATGGGTCAGTGGTGCATTCTGGGCAATCTCTTCTGGATGTATTTTTTGCGGGAGTGGCTTGTTTGTTTATTTATTGGTTGATTTGTTTGGGTTAATTCATTTTACTTGTTTTTCATTTTCATTTTGTAATATTTATTCTTTTCGTTTTGTCATGTGGTAAAGAATTTGGTGGAGATTTGCTTAGGTCGCTTATTTAATAGTTTGTTTTGGTCTGAGAAGATAATTAAAGCTATTTATTCGTACAATGTTTAGATTGTTTGCCGTCGTCTATTTTCTTATTTTAGCGGGTGGACAGTTTTTAATTTATTTATTTGGTTTGATTATTCTTACTGATTTTTCTTATTTATGCTTATCTTTATTAGTTCTTACGATTATTTTAGCGGGGACGATTTGTTCATTTATTTGGATTTTTTTTTTATTAGTTATTTAATTTTTTTTTTTATTAGTTATTTAATTTAAGTGTGTGTGTGTTCCAAGTAGCAGTGGCACTTAGAAAGAAGCTGTCCAAATGGAACTTCCATCTTATGAGTAGATTAACATGGAAATGATTCGTGCTTATATACCATACATGGATTCTTTTTGCTGTAATATTCTAAACTGGTGAAAATAACGAATGTCACTCTTTAGTATACTTTAATGAAATATAATCGTCGTTCGGTGTTCGTGAATGGTGCCGTTGTGTAGGAATTATTTCATCACCTAAAAGTCTGAGTAAACGCTTTTGAACTCCGACGATTCTGGAAAAAGTGGGTTATATATTGCAACGAGACCCAATTGTTGTTCTCATCCGACTCCAGTAAAGAGAGAGAACATTGGCCACAGATCATCTTACAGGCATGGCTGAACTATTGGCTTCCCTAGCGATTTTTTTACACTAATATCGTGGTTGAGATTTGTGCGAATAGCAGTGGAACATAACGCTTAACGCTAGACGAACAGGTTAAGATTGTATTGATCGAGTAAACATCCTCCCGGGAGTCGGTTCCTAATTTCAATTCTTCCCGGGAAGAATCTGTTCGAGAGGAACTTACTTCTCACCGATGGAATACGAAATGTTGTAGAAGAAACATTTTGTGAAGTTTTAATTCTGTACACAAATGTATTTCTTGAATTAGTAAGTGCTGGCCAATTGTACGTTTTTAAGAGACGTTATTTTCTACTACTGATAAAATTAAATGATAGCTTCCATGAATGATTTTGGAAATATCGTTTTTATTATTATTATTATTATTATCGAAACTGTCTTGATTCTTTTACTTCATATCTCTTCCTGGCGCCTGTTGAAAATAATTTCAGTCTGGAATGGCTTCCTTTGATCCTGTAGTAGCTTTATATTTAATAAAATCCTTTTTGTGAAAAAAAAAAGTCGTTGCTTATACTAATGTAAAATTTATTGAATTTCTCTAAGGTGAATCTAATTTTATGCCGAAAAAGGAAGTAATATTATTTTGTCGTTGTTTCATGGTGAAAATGTAATTTTCATGCCCTTAACACAAATTACATTTTCTTGCGAACCATCATTCGTTAAACAAAGATTTCCTTGCAAATTCTTATAGTGTTCATAACAAAATTTCCTTCTCCCTATATTCACTTTTTAATATATTTCGGTGCAAATTTATGATCATTTTGATATGAAACTTGTTAAAATACACTATTCATCATTTAGTTATTACTATAGACTACATTACGGTGTCGTTACTGAGTGGTTAGAACTTTCTTTCTGACCATGAGATCATTGTGAGTTAGATCCCTCCGCCAGGCATTGTATATTTTTGATTCAATGGAAACAGAGTGACCAATAATAAAAATAAGAAATAGACAACTAGATTAAATAAATGGTTCAGTTCCGAATACGCTGTAGTTTACCTGCATCGACATAACCTGATGAAGACCGGGAGGCACAACGGCCGAAACGTTGTGATAACGACAAAACATATAAGGATGTAAATTCCGCACTTATATTTGAATAAAATAAATTTATACGGCGAGTGGTACTTGGGCCCGAGTACCACTCACCGTATCATTATAAAAATTCCCTGATGTACGAAGGCCCGCATTGTCATGGAAGGGAATAATATCTTTACAATAGACGCGAATATTACGCTTTTCGGCCAAAATGAATTGACCCGTTACAACTGCTGGATAGTATGAGTGTGAATCTTGTGTTTCATTTTATTTTAAGAAATCTATGTCTGTAACACACCGACAATCCCAGCACACGCACACTATTAGCTCTCTTCCATGGAAGTCAGATTTTGTGGTCGATCTGGAGATACATCATTGTTAATTTACGGCCATTGGCACTGAAACTTGTTGTTGTTCAAATTTATTCTTAACTGTCAAAACAGGTTATTAGTTACGAAGATACATTCATAATTACAACTGGTTCCCCAAAACCGGAAATTACTCACTGCGCAACCCAATGTTTCCCATTTCTGCATGTGCTATTGTTATCAACGGAATATAAACAATAATGACCTCTTTTCAAATCAGAACGAATTTAATAATTTTATTCAATCATACCTTAACCTGGTACAATATTTGATTGACGAAGTTGATTTAAGATTATGATGCACCCTCGTCCAAGTAAAATTTTATTTACCTAATTCCACCCGATAGTACGATTGACGTAATTAACGGCCATATTCGCTCGCGTATATGCAGGCAGTGAAAGAAATATCCCAGTTCCCGAGGCAGTACGTCTTTTGAGACGCCCCGGGCATGGAGATTTATCACTGACTTTCCCTACATTAAGTGCAATACGGGAAGCACAGGCTTAGAAACTGGAAATGGATTTTGATCACTTCCGCCTCGGGTACGATAAAGGCTTCTATATTGACTAAACTTAGTTTGACACAAGGCCGAAAGTATAGGGCAGCTAGAGATTATCTAAATTCTGAGTATTAATACGAGTCAAAACTTGACAGAGGACGATAAGTGCGACACTGAGATCTGTAGGCGTATTGGGATGGCGAAGGACACATTTCGAAAGCTGAGTACTGCGAGACAGGAGGATTTCTTTGGTAACAAAGAAAAGAATACTGAGATGTTACGTGCCATATGTCCTTCTTTACATCAGCGAATTATGGACGATTATCTCAAGAAGAGACTCAAGGCGACAGTGATGTGTTTCTACAGAAGGATGCTAAGGATATCACGGACCGAGCATGTGAGAACGATGAGATCTTAGAGAGGTTGCAAACAAGGAGGAGGCTTAAAATTATTATCAGGAAGAGGCAGCTGAAGTTTCTGGGACACATGATGAGGAAGGAAGGCTTGTGGAATCTAATAATCACGGATCGAATAGAAGAAAATAGACAAGGGAAAACAACGCATGACATACCTGGCGGGCTTGAGCAAGTGGTTGACAGAACGTTGTCTGGGGGAGGTAGCCGAGGGAAGGAACTTGTTGAGAGCTGCAAGGGATAAAGTGAGGTGGAGAGCCATGATCACCTACTTTTAATCTAATGTATTTTGTGCGTCTTTGAAAATCTGTTGATTGTTGAGACCAAAACAAAACATGTACCTTTTTTGCCTCACCTTAAAGAAGACTATCATTCAATATACCCTATAGGATAGCGTTACAAAATTATAGAGCACTTCATCATACAAAAAAAGACATCATTTGAAGACTTCCAACAGCAGCAACTAAAATAAATAGCGACTCTGACTACAGTGCGTCTGAAGTTATTATGCAAGTCACATATACGTGATTGACATGAATTTTCTTAGTGCAATTTTAGTCAAATTTAAACACCATATTTAGACATCAAAACAAAGCAGTAGTTAAAACTTAGTTAGTTTCACATGTTTTATTATAGCTATTTAATTGATTATGGAAACTAAAGTCAGAATTTATCATGCAGATTAAACTAATATTAGTTTAATGTATCTGAAATCGGGTAAAATTGTTTTCTCGTAATTTATGTTAAAACATGAGTAATGGAAAGGATGTAACAAATCTGAAAAAACAGACAGAAAACAAACGTATTGGGTGAGGGAATGACATTATTTGAAAAGAAAACAAAGGAGATTTGCAAGGATCATCAAAAGATTAATATATTGTTGAAAATATAACTAATTTGAGAACTAGAAGCAGACCATAATAACATGTCTTCTCAAGGCGAACATAATGTAAAATGAGTTAAAATGAAGTAACAATTTTTGATCAGTGCTCAGATATTTGAACAGTTGGTAATCGAGGGAATCGAGAAGGTCAAAATGTGCAGAATATTTCGAGAATTGGGATTTCTCAAAAAAGAAAAACTTCTCGTTAAAGCAGATATTTTAAAGCATAAAATTTGTACTATTCTGGATTATATGATTTGCATATTAACTTTAGGCGGGCGGTAGTGTTAATTCCTTCATATGTTACTTTTATGTAATTTCGAACACACAAAATTTTGAAGGAAACTACTTTGACTACAAGAAAGGGAGATAACTGTAGATATGTGACGTATAATTTCTGGAAAACGTTTTAAGAAAGACATTTAAAATATTTCAAGTGACGCTCAATTAATGTCGAATGATTTACCTCGTAGAAACGGTTAATTTCACTATTACCGTTGCCTATACAAACATTACCACTTCCTTTACCTATATACGAACACTCTAAGAATTCTAAGAATTATTCAACATATTTTATCTCTTTTAGTACCGACTTCTGAAAATAGGATGTATGGCTTGTAAAGTAAAACAGAATTCCAAACAGCCGACATATTTCTAAGATGAACGGATCCGTGTCATTCCACATACTAAGAGTGTTTACTTCTTAGATAATTTAAAAGGTTATCTCATCTCTCTGAATTTGTGTCAGGATATATTTACCTGTCTAAAATCATTATTTCTGAAAATAATATTATGGTAGTTTAATTTTTTCTGTATAGTTGATATTCGTTAGTCTATTTTTTTCATTTGTATTTCATACGTCCTATCGATCGAATCTTGAGAAAGACTTTTTTTATCTTGTTGGGAGTCGCAAATACTTCTGTTTATTCCTATTAATAATAAGACAGTATTAGTTTGTAAAGTTTAAGGATTTCAGCATTTGTTTTATTTTCTGAGTCCCGCATTTGTTATTTCGTCATATTTTAGGCTTTAAAAATAAGGAATGAAAAAGAATCGAATGAAAATAGAAGGATTTTCATAATTAAATAATAACTAAAAATAAATTTGGCAGAAATGCACTTATATTTTTGTGGGAGTCCCCTCTTTTGTGTGGACGTTTTTCAGTAACTATTTAATGATTCGTCTTACAAACAATTGGCCGGCCTATGGTGTCTCCGGGCAAAAGTAAGAAACAATTGAACGTGAATTATTATTGCATTTACTAACAAAGATATTGCATTAATCAGCATTTAATTAAAAGTAAACGATATGAAATATGAGATTAAAGAATGTGCTTATGTGTGTGATACAAGCGTTTATAATGCACACGTGTGTGTATATGCGTGTGTGGGGGGTTTCAATTGTCAGTGGGCCAAGGTAAACGAACTTACAACGGCGGGGACGCTCGTGTCTAACTTCATGTAGTAGAAGAAAGCAAGAGTAAGAAAAATAAAAAAAGGAAGAGGAAGACAATGTTTGTCATTTTATCAAATTAAACAACTCCACCGAGCGGGTATTTGGCAAAGCCACGTGGGGTAACCCATAGTATCTAGAAATGACGTATACCCGTATAAATGCCAGAATTTCATTAATCATTTACAGAACTGGGTTAAACAATTTACCATTCGCTACAGTGTAAAGCAAATATCTCCCATCCAAAATTTCTCTTAATATATAGAATTCTACGATTACCATTATACATAATTTAATTCCTGATTTCATTGTCATACTCTGGTCTTTATTTTGAGAGACTTCTTATCTAAAATCTGAGAAAATATCTTTGAAAGATGATCCTTAACAAATGCATTTCTATTATTAATATTAACATGCCATGAACCGCCTCTTCAGAAAGATTTGAATCAATAGCATAGTAAATAGCATACGGAATAGCATTGTTCTTTTACCTGTCCGAAGTATACGGTTCATTGAATTCTTACCTTTATTTTACTTTAAAATCTCTAAACGAACTTTATTTGTTTTATAAATTCATTTGTGGTGTAAATGTCATGCAATCTTACCAATTTCAGTGATCTGGAGAATGTTCTTCAGGATAAACTAAGATTTCATCGATTCTGGTGAAGGGTGTCATTTCTTTTACAGAAGAATACAATTGTTGATAAACAAATGATTAATAACAGTGACAAATTTAACTAATATAATGAGGATTTAAAAATGTGAATTATCAGATTTTTATAATTAAAATACCAAAATGAGACATAAAAACACTGTCAACGTAATTGGCGTTCCAAATGTGAAATAGTTTTGGAGCTGTATCTGGGTGTGTTGATAAAATTTCCTTCTTTTGTGTGTAAGTCCTCAATATGCATTAAATTGTTTATGTTGGTTGTGTTCATAGGAACGTATCAACAGGGATATTAACAATCAATTTTAATTCATCAATAGATAACTTTAGCTGAAGATAATGTAAATTGTGCAATTATTTCAAACAATTCTCACGTAAAATGAAACCGACGAAAATAACAGATTTTATGGAAAACAATGAGAGTTAAACAATGTCGTAAAATGAGTAATTTGTAAAGTTGCTAACTATACAAAAGTTTTACTAAAGCCGGCTAAATGTTAAAAATTAATTAGTAAAACACGACCTTATAAAGTGGGCCTATAAGTTATGAATTACTTAAAAGTTATTGGTTAACATATATTTTCTTAATGTTTTACGAAATAATTAAAATGGAAAAACAATACCAATTTGTAGTGATTTTAGCATTATTGTTTCCAAAATGTAAGAACATGTAGCGGCATTTTTGAGATTTTACTTGGTCAAAAAATAGTAATCTAAATTTCGATGCCTCTCGAGCCAGTATTTGCACGGTATACTGACAACTTCATTATTCTGATAAGTGATATTCCTAAGAAGTTACTTAAGTATTACTTCCTAAACCTTTATAGACTGGTACAATGTCACACATTTCTTACGGTATGTGGCCTTCATAAGTAGTTTCCTATCCAAATAATATATATTTACTCATATCTTATTTGTTTGGGACAAGGAAAACTTATCTGTAGAGTAACTATTATACTTTGTCATTTTAAAATATAAGATTATATCTTCATTTCTGAATTAAAAAATAAATGTTTGTCACAGATTGCTGGATCATCATGTTTTTTCGGTTGTGCAGAACGATAGCTATTGCCCAAATTTAAACTTATGTTAATGCCATTCATCGTTCTACCCTGATTAAGGAAATCACTCTCTGGATTAGTGCGCTATAATGATGGGGACAAGATCGGCTTTCGTCCATTACACTTGTTATATAAGATCTAAGGAGTTCTGTCCTCTCATAAGCATTTTCTTAATTCATGGTGCCCACTCAATCGTAGGTTAAAAATCGGGGGATGGAATTCCGCAGGATTTACTCCCTCTCATCACAGAAAACGCACGAGGAAACATTGTTCTACGACGGTGCAATCGCTGAGTGGATCGTCCCCACACCTGACATCGTTACTCCCTGACAATCGAGTGAAAGTGGAATGGTGCGCGCGACTAACATTCCTTCAGCCAATGCGAGGTGTGTCGCGCGTCGGCGTATCCCTGTTATTTTTAACATATTACTGCAAAATTGTCATTATATTCTGATTTTCCTCATTATTGCAC